TGTTGAAGTAGTCGTTGTTGATTACTACTTGCAAATATTTCTATTGTATTTTCAACTCTCCACTTTAAGGTCCCTATGAAGATCAGTAATGGGGCAGTACCAGGGTGCATCGACAATACTTTAATCTGGATACGTTGAATAACTTGGATGTTACTTTTACTAGTATAGCACCAAATCTGGATACCATACGTCCAAACAAGTTTCAATATCTGCCTGTAAAGAAGCAGTTTGTTGCATGTGGATAATTTGGAAATTTTCTTTCTACTAATCTATACATTTTTTGCATTTTAAACCAAGCTCTTTGCTTTTCTTTTTAATATGGACCAACGAAATCTGGCATCAAGTGTCATAACAATGAAATTTTGCTGTATTAGCAAAAGGAATCTAAGTGTCGTTTATTCATTTTGTTTATTATTGAAGTTGATTGCCTTTGTTTCATTTTATTCGATATCTTTTCGTCCAAGTGTTTAACTATTCTATATATTTTTGCAATTTGCTTTTAGCGTCTGTGATTTTTCCAACATCAAGGATTGCACTATCATCAGCAAATGTTACGATAGTATTGGGCTTAAGATTACGAATATCTCTGGTATACAACAAGTAGAGTACCGAACCTAATACACTACTTTGAGGTACTTCTGTCTTAATTACTCTTAGGTCGGAATGGGTATTTTCCAGTTTAATTCTAAAACACCTTTCTAAAAAATGGGATTTTATTAGTTCAGAGTATTGGCATGGCAAGAACAAGTTTAATTTTTAAATCAAGCCTTCATTCCATACTTTGTCAAAAGACGATGGAGCAAACTTTTTCTTTTAGGAACTTCTCGATGATATCTATGATTCGATGGTCAAGTATTTTTCTCTGAATTCAAACAACTGGGATGGTATTAGGTCCTTTTCTTCTATTATATGTTTTAATCTCTTAAAAAGCAATTTTTGATAGAAATGTAACAATAGATTTCCGTGGAAGCATTTTCAAAATTTCCCCAGTAATAAGGTCAAATGCAGGGGCCTCTTTTGGATTTATATTTGTATGTAATTTCATTAAACTTCTTTTGGATAGTTGTGTTTAACGACTGTGTCTTCTAATGCTTCTATACAGTTAGCAGAGAGAGATCACATATTCGTAGACGCAACATTCTCCTTCATCCTAGACAGACTGTTAGTAACAGAATGTCACCAAGCCTTTATTAAAGTATTTATCTAATATATGATCATCTTAAGATGGATAAAGGGTCAGGCGACTACGATTTCCGTTTAAATAGACAACTAAATATTTTATGACCTGGCCTTTGCATTTAAATATCAACATCGAACGTGACAAATCTAATTAAAGAAAATTTACTTATAAAATTTAAGGAAAGAATTGATCAAACAAGAAACTGCAAGAGTTTCTACAGATCACCTAAGTAATCTAACAACACAACAGCAATCAAATGGCTAGACAGAATTTATGCCTCATCACAGGTATTCTGGCGGATCATTACTAATTACAAAAACGCCATCACAGCTATCAAATTTCACATTCTGCTGGATGTGTGTAAAAATACTAAATTATTATCACATCTTCTGTGATTGCCAAATGCTTTCATCTATTAGGAAATGGTTGTTTTGCAACTATTGGCCAACAACGATCAATATAAAAGAAACACCTCTCATCAAACTTGGTAACTACTTACAATTAGTCAGCTGGCTGAGAAGCAAATAGAGGACTCACTGATTCAGCAGGATACACTATAAATCTAGCGATGTTAAAGGACTGTGAGGTAACCTGTTTTTAGATTATAGATATCTGTTTAATACTCTATTCATTGGCAGTGTGAATAAAAAAAATAATACATACCTATGGATGCAGAAAAAAAAGTTAACTTAATTGAAACAATATTATTGCAGAGTAGAATAGACTTTATATATTTAAGAAAGTTATTCTCAGATTGGTATACTAAATTAGTTTTAAAAAGTTTTACACCTTGATTCATAGTGTAGTTCAAATCAGCAAATCCTTAAATTGACATTTGACGTTTTCGACATTTCTGTCAATAGATTCTATACCATTCATGGTTTAAATAAACTTGCAAAATGTTTACCTGGTTTAATAAATAACGAATCTTTAATAAAAATTTGGTGCAACATCCCATTGGATAGTTTTCTGTTGATTTGATTTATTAATTTGATAGTCTATATTTAAATAAATATTCATATAACCAACTATATATACTATTTCTAGGTGTCTACCATCACGTTGTTGGAGAGAAGTTAGGTTTGCACGCAGTAAGAATCATTGGATGGGGTACTGAAAACAATGTTGCTTATTGGCTCGTTGCTAATACTTGGAACGAAAATTGGGGAGATCTCGGTCTATTTAAAATCAGAAGAAGTGAAAATGAATGTGGCATCGAAGAAGTGGTAAACGCAGCGCAAAAAATGATTACGCTTCAAATAAAATTGTATTTATTTCATAATATTTTTGTTTTAATTTGTTTCCACTTTACTGTAGTTAATCTAGTGAGATTTCTATTTTGTTTTATTCTAGCTTGAAATTAATTTCTATGGTAATAAGATTTTTATTTACTTATTGTATCAGCAAGACTGCATTAAATTATAAAATGTCTTATGTAACAGTTTTGGGAATTTTTTACGTAACAATATCTATTAACCCTAATGAGCGTATTGTATTTGGGCACAAAGTTAATCCCCTACGACCTTTTATAAATCCCTACGTGCAATCGATCCACCCAAAAGATGCAAATTTTCAACATCTCGATTTGGGCACTTTTGTACCTTCTGGTTTAGGAAGAAGAGCAGTGGCGGCTCGTTGAAACTAATGGTAGTGGGGCACACACTGGAAAGGAATCCCAAGATTCGTTTTTCCCTTAGGAAAACAAGTTCTCAGCCTAATGAAAATTAAATATATTTCAAAACAATCACTTGGGGTAATAACGATTTTTGAATGTGACTACAGGGAGCTAAATGTGACCACTCAAAATGCATTTAACTATGTATGTGGCTATTTAATCAAAAAATCATTACATATCCACTCTTGCGAAATTTGCGTAAATTTCTTAGAATAATGCCATTTACTTAACAATTTTAACTTGTTAACGCATTTTAAAGCATACGACTCTGAAGAAAAAGTGTTTGGCAATTTAAAATCTCCCAGTGAAAAGTTTCTCTTTTATATTTTCAAATTAGAAAAAATATGTATATCTCTATTTGATAGTTTGTCAACTAAGCCTAGAATTTTCAACGCATACCTTTTTGAGACGAGCAAAATAGAATTTGGTCATCCTTGCCAACAATTTGCGAAAATGTACACCATTAAATTATTTATAAGACTATTAAATATACAAACAGAGATTTGAAATCCTCAGAAAAGTCAGACAAAACCAAAAGCAAAATAAAAATTTTGTCCCATTTATAAATATTATTGATTTTTTTTCATCATATTTTTGAATTCTTTATAAAAAAAAAGTTATTTCTCTTTGTAATTTTATTTCTTAACTATTCCAATGGTCCAACTAACGTTTTTTCGTAATCACAATAAATAAATTATTATCATGGTCTAACAAACGCATCGCTTTTGTGAGGGAGCAGGTAAAGATGCCGCTTCGTACATTCGTATCTGGTCTAGGTAATCTGTGCCATGGGTACAGCACGTCACAATAAGGACAGCGCCCCGCTTTTGACGCATAATCCATCGCATGTGTTCATTGTTCATCTCTTGCTAAGCGATATTGTCGTTGTCATTTTATTACAATAAAAAGTATCGCTTTCTTGTATGATTAAATTAGCTTATTGGGCAATACACAAAAAATAAAGGAATATAATGTCCGTTAGAAGCGACATGCAGTGTAAAAAGTTGTATAAAATAATTTCTTTGGATTGCATAGAACCGACACATTTGTGTCACATAAAAATACAATTATTTTATTTTCTTCATCGACCACACAAACAAAATTTTCTCCTTTGATCATTTGGCAGATCATTGATGATAACAAGGAAATTGTTTCTGAGTCACTTTTTGGTAGGATGGGCTGTATTTTTCTTCTTTCATATTATATGTTATTCCTTAAGCAAGCAATATCCTTTTGGGTCAGCGTTTCCAGAGAAAATTTGCTACTGAAAATAGCCGTCCTTATGACTTTGACAGGTTTCTCAACTAGATCCTCTGCTGCACAAACATACTTAATAGTGGAGGCAAAATACGACAAAATAAATAGGCAGTATAATTACAAAGTGTAGAAAAATTACCTATTAGATGATTTATCGTTCTCTCGTAGCTGTCATGGTTGTGATGTAATTCACTTCTTGATACGATTTTTTCATCTCCGCTTGCTACATCGCCAAAAACACTCACCGCCTTTTAGTTCCTTTTGAAAAGTAAACTTAAAACTGAGATGGATTTACCTACCTATTTAATGTGTGATTTTTGGAAAACAAGTCATTAGGTACTTATAAAAATCTAATTATTAGATATGTAGTTACATTCTAGTAACTTTAATTACAATATAAACAAATAAAAACACATTAAGATGTTGAAAATAAATGTAGTATTTTAACATTATTTAGTTTCGTTGAGATTGTGCATTTTACGTTTTTAATGCCTTTCTAATTATCACCAAATATGTTAAGTGTATTTTTTTATGCGTCCTTTACTCTTTTCCCAACTTATCCATGTCGGCCATCTCAGGTAGAGGATTAACAAGAGTGTCCAAATTAAGATTTCCTACTAGTAACTCAGGTATATTTAGGATTCTTTGGAATGCTGAGGCAAAGTTTGGTGAAATTTCTCTGAATAACGTGCTTTGATGTATTTTTACTTATGAATAACACGTGATCTACAAAAAGGTCACATAAGCCATGACCGACAATTATACTCTCCATGCGTTATTTTTTCTATGGCCTACTTTAGAGATATTTTTTACTTTTTTATCTAGATACGAGATTTCACAAAACTGAGCATAGCAACAGAAAAAGCAGTAACAAGTATTCGATAGTACATAACATTCATTATTCTATTTTTGTCAACTAAACATTCGGTATTTTAATCAGTTTTCGTTTTATCTAGACCCATCGAAATTACTGCAAACAAAATAAATTTGTATTATTATCATGAGAGGCTACTTTAGTATTAAAAATATGTTAATATGACTCTTTTAAAATTATATATAAATAAAACTGGCGAAAGATTAATTATTTAGTATTTTGAAAAATAAGGTGAGTAATATTTTTTATACAATCCGAATTTTTTGATTGTTATGGTCTAAACTGTAATGCGTTTGACATGTTACAGTACAAATCATAACTTCTTTTTGTTTTGTAGTACCTACTAGCGACCGCTGAATTTGTTTACTAAGTGCATACGGAGCAGGTAAAGGAGTAAACTATGCGCTTCTATAGGTTGCATTAGATATCGGATTGGAGAATATATATATTTATTTCTCTATAATAACTTAGTAAGCAAAATTAAAGTTCAAGGGTCGAACAAAATTTTTTATAACTGCTTTTGTTCTTTGGGTATTATGAAATGCCTGTTACTGTGTTAACCAAAGAAGTAGCTTTTTTATAGGGAAACGATCGTATATATTATTATGTGACACATGCCTTTAAGTTTTTTTTGTTTTTTTAGAATTTAAATTGTTTTTAAATTAATAATGAAACAACTTATTTTAAAATTTCCAGCATTATAAATGACTTTTAATTATTATACTTATCCATGTACACAGTCTTTATCAATACCCGTATCCTCTGAGATCTGATAAAACAAGAAATTAAAGCCTAATGGCTTTTTTTGATTATTTCTCTATTGTCAGTTTTATCAAATACCACAGACGTAGAGTTATTGCTGAAGATACTAATGTTAATTTTAGCCAAATGATATTTATTTGCTCACCTGGGATACAGGGTTTCCCAAAAGAATTTAGTCAGTATATTCAAACGAATACATTTATTGAATTATAAGAAAAAAATATTTTTTATGTTTTCTTAATATACAAAATAATAAGAAAATTTGAAAACGTCTATTATGGTTAATTTTTTTAAGTACATCACTCTTATTTCTTGAACCTAATTTTTTACAAATCTTTGATAATGAAAATTAGTTCAAAAAATACCTTATGATCTATTATATAAAAATATACTTTGAAAACGGCGATTTGCTAATTAACTATTAAGTATAAAATTATTTTAATAGAAATTGGTCTTTACAACCTATATTTTTATTATTCAAACTAAAAATAGGAAAGTTTCAAAACTTATAATTTAAATAACATTGCAGAAAAAAACGAAATCACATGATAAAATTATTTTGGATTCTTCTTTTAATTTTAGACAACTTTTCGAAATAGCAGTTTTAGTGTAATTAGTATTAAGCAATTGTTCATATTTTTTGACATTTCCTGTAATGTAATACGCTATTTAAATTTTGTTAAAATAAGTTTGGTTATTCGCAATAAGAATGCAAATAAATGTTTGTATATTACGTAAAATATTTGCTTTTAGGATTTTTCAAAATGAAGATAGCCATATGCATTGCTTTTCTGTTGTCAGCTGCCCTAGCAGCCAACGTTAAAATAAATCCCCTCTCAGATGATTTCATCAATCACATCAACAGCCAACAAAATCACTGGAAAGCTGGGAAAAATTTCGACGAAACCATTCCTATTAGCGAATTTAAAAAACTTATGGGTGTTCGTGAGGCCATTTCAAAATCAAGACGAACACCTACTGTTCACAGTAAAGACATAGAAATTCCTGAGTCGTTTGATGCACGTACCAATTGGCCAGAATGCTCTAAAGTTATTGGCGAAATTGTTGATCAATCTGCTTGTGGTTCTTGTTGGGTGAGTATTACTGTCAAGGCATTTATGACAATCAAATCAATTTAATAAAAAATATTATTACAGCAACTCAAGAAGATATTCTTGAATATCTTATTTATACCATTCTTCACATAAAAAAAGGTTGTCAAACAATAAAAACTTAAAAGTTACTTAACTTCTCTAAATAGTATAAGACAAAGTCGATATCTGCCTTTGTTTGTTTTTCCACTTACTGAAGGTAAAAGGCTTAAAAACAAGAAACTTGAACAAATTCATCAGATAACGACGTACTCGTAAAGCGTCTGTTTTTCTTTACTGTTTGGTCAACTTTCTGTACCAAATCGTCAATAATGACTAAAGGGCTCACCCACTCCGTTCATAATCATGCACAATTGTGCGGCCATCTTTAATCTGTCGAACCATTCCATCGCTCATACAGTTTTGTCCGTGAACTACACATAGATAGCTTACGAAGAATATTGATCGCTTTTAACCCTTTAAAGACGGTTTTTTTATGCAGAGTAGCCCTAATTATTTAACTTATTTTATATTTGTAAAGTCAGAATAAGTTGTGGTGGTAAACATATGTACCACTAATCCTTGTATGAGGTAGGTACGTATATATACCAGTAGGCTGGGTATTTTCATAAAACAACAAACAATTATTTTGAAAAAAACGTGTTAATTTCACATTTTATTAAGTGTGGTGAAGCGCAAAACAATTTTTACAAAGAGGGGTATCGCATTCTTGACAATATATTTTTGTACGTGTCTGTATCTTTCTCTTGGCACATCTTCTACACCGTCTTATGGTTAGACCTTTGAAGGGTAGATGAAGAGACACGGTTGCAAAGCTTTTTCGTTTTCTTGAAACTCTGCTTTTTTTTAAACCGCTGTTCTTTTTCCCTCGCTTATCATCTCTTCTGCCAAAGGCACTAAAAATTGCAAAGCAGATGCTTTTTTTATGTAGTTCGTTATAAATGATCTACGAATTTACAACTGCCATCATGAACAAACGGTAGAACAATCTGGTCTGCTAAGTCGACGCCCCCATAATTTCTCTATAAAAATCTATCACTCTAGGACAAGCCACGTCAATTTTGGAACCATCTTTCACTGTTTTTTTTTCACAGTTTCAACTTCATCATTATGACAATTACTTAGCATAAGGACTTCTTTAGTATTTTGCCATTTCACAAACATCAGTCAATCACTACTACATCAAAATACCACCTATTTAATTTCTCTGTTATCTTAGGTATAAACTTCCTGTTCTTGTAACAAGTACCAAGTGCTGTGTATTCTAAATTTTAAAGTAATAATAACGAAGTAAAAAAACGATCAAATCAAAACGTTATATCCTGTTCTTTAACTGTGGTAACAAGTTTACGTACAATGCGCTCTCCCAGTGAACCACTAAAGAATTCAGTTTTTCGGCCTGTATAAATATTAAAATTGTACGTGCAATCAGTAGCGGAATCGGATGTAAGCCACATTTTTATGCCCCTTTTTATTGCGCCAATAATTCCCGGCCTGACATAGTTGCAGATATTTTATAAGGATAAAAGTTTAACATTTTATAACTACAAACCTTAGTAGGCTGTGGTAACAAAATAAGCTACTTACGTCAAATAGTTTTTAATTGTCAGCATTTTGAACTAAAGTATCTCCGAAAATGTCTCAGGGGACGAAAATTGAGTACAGAGCGGTTATTAAATTTTTAACAAAAGAAGGGCTTACACCTAAAATTATTAAAGAAAGACTCGATGGCGTATATGGCCAAAGTTCCCCTTCCTATTCGGTAGTGAAGGAATGGGCAAAACGTTTTCACATGGGGTCAGGAATCCCTTGAAGATGACGAAAGACCTGGACGGCCAGTGGAGGTGATAACGGAGGACAAAGTGGCCCTTGTGGAAAACCTGGTGCTAAGTGACCGACGTTTGAAGGTCAAGAAAATGGCAGAAATGACCAAGCTTCCTGATACCACTATTCGCCGAATCCTTCATGATCATTTGGGTATGCATAAGGTTAGTGCAAGATGGGTGCCCAAACACCTTTCGGCGATTCAGAAGCAACGTCGTGTCGAGTGTGCTCGATCATTTTTGGAACTGTGTGGAGATGATCCGAACCCCGTGTTGGAAACAATAGTCACTGGAGATGAAACTATGGTTCTTTATTATGATCCTCTGACGAAAAGGGAATCAATGGAGTGGCGCCGTAAGGGTGAAGCCCCCCCACGAAAATTTAGTCTGCTAATCAACGAAAAAGGTGATGGCTACGATCTTTTGGAATTGTGAAGGAATCGTTCTGATTGATTTTAAAGAGGCAAATACCACCTTTAACGGCGCATATTATGCCGCATTACTTCATAAGTTGCGGGAATGTATTCAGGAAAAACGTCGAGGAAAATTAACCAGAGGCATGCGGTTGTTGCACAACAATGCGCCCGTTCATACTGCTGGCATTACACAAGCTGCCATCCTAGATTGCGGGTTTCAAAATATAGATCACCCTCCTTATAGTCCAGATATAGCTCCCAGCGATTATTACTTGTTTAGTTATTTGAAAAAGGACCTTCGCGGGCGACGTTTTCGGGACGATTTTGAGTTACAAGAAGCTGTTTTGGCCCATTTTGAGGATAAACCGAAAGAATATTTTTTAAAGGGATTGAATTGTTAATTAAACGTTGTAAGAAATCATTGAGGTTAAGAGAGATTACATTAAAAAATAATAAAAACTTGTTGTTGTACTTTGCCTCCTTTATTGTCAGGCCGGGAATTATTGGCGCTTATTATTGTGTCATTGACAAGCGACCTTTTACTTTAGTCATAGACTCGTCAATGCTCCGAAAACAACTATCTTGACGACACTTTTAAAATGTGCCTTTTAAACACTTAACGACATCATCAATATAATATGTCTTGGAGCATTCAGACGGTTTGTATGGTGAAACGAAATACATCTTTGAATACAAAAATTTGAATCTATATCTAGACATTGCATTTTGTATTGCAGTATTCCCCATTGAGGGATGAGTTGACCAGTAATCGCTAATTTGTGACATGATTGTAACACATAACTAGCGTGCATCCAAGAACAATCTTTATTTCGCTCTCACCGGTTTCTTTCAAACATGCATCGCGTTTTGTATTTTTTTGTAAATTCTTATTCTTTCGTTTGTACACTGAGCAATGTATATAAACAATGAGCGTGGAAACATTTTCTGAAACAAGAGAAAATGTGTAATATTCCTGTTAAATTCAGAAGATAAGCTGCATTTCCGCTCAGAGGATATTTTTTGTTTCGGAATAAATAATTCATCAGGTTCGGTAAACAGCACAAAATGATCTTAAGAAGAGGCTAGAGTTTCTGGAAGTGGCGGAGATGTTGGAGTATCCCTTAAATAGCATTCAGGCTGCAGGTCATCTTGGGACTCCGATTTAACAATATTCGCATTAGATTCTTCCACTGAGTCAGTAGCATTTGAATTAGAGTCCTCATCAGAAGGCTCGTAGAGGTCGTCATCACTATCATCTGATTCCGGTGGAGAGTCAGACAAATTGATGGCGCCTCTTCCAACTCAGAAGACGTTAGTGGCCTTTTACAATCCATATCTGCAAACAAAATATCTTTCTACACAGTGAACTACTGGTACACAAACGAACCACTGCATAAGACGGATGGTACATATATGTACCAGTGCTTTGCATCCACCCATTTTAATATGTTTGATCATTAAATAATAAACAAAAACACACTTACCAGACAAAAAGTTGATACACTTGTCACTTAGCATAAACACGTACGTTGAGCAACTACCTATAACAAATTATCGAAAAGTGAGGTTATGCGATATCTCCCGTGAAGCTCCCGTGCGTGTTTTGACAAGAGGATATTTATCCAGGCTGCGCGGTACAAATATTCAACGTTTCAAAGAGCTAAAACTTATTTTAGTCCTGTGTTACTAATTGGTGGCACATATGTGTTCCCGTAGTCTCGAACGGGTTAAGCGTTATGCACTCAGAAAACGAATGACAGAACAAACTTAACATTTAGCGGGACTCTTGATCGGCGGTGTTATTTTATATGTTGCTAACACCACTGGACTATATAATTAAACTGGAAGAACAAAGCCGATCTACAAAATCAAGCCACATAGCGAGGTGATATTTGACACTCTGGCGCCCACACGTGCGTATCGTAATGCATTAAAAGGGATCATCAAAAATAAATTTAACTTATTACATTCAACTACGACAACTTTTAATTTAGGAAAATCACTTAAAATGATTTTTGATTAATACGCAGCTGAAACAAACGTAGAATGCTCGAAATTGACAGTCTGGCGCCCAAATTATCATGCGCACCGACCGTTTTTTTACCCATGTTGGTTTAGAAATTAGGAGTGAGGTTTATGTCATATAGTCATCCAGTTTAATATCAAGGTCGGTGGCTAACACACGTAATCAAGGGCGACTTTTGCCGTAATGGCGTCTCAGCTTTGCCAATAGATGCAGGAATACAGCGCGCATGTGCAGAATACCGACCACAGTGGTGCAATATTAAAAATATTTTTTAATCCGTCGGTAATCCTGCTGAACCACTTTCGTCAAGGTCCATGATATCTAAAGTATGTAACGATACGCAATAATTTTTGAAATTAATAGAAAATATATCTCTGAGATAAACCACTTAAATTAAAATACATTACAATCTTAAAACTCAAGAGTCTCTTGCAAATATTTATTTTATCTAAAAAGAACAAAAATTATTGAATTGCATGGTTAATTTCATTACAAATAAACAACAAAGACAAAAGAGAAAAACTTAAAGTTCGTGTTGCACAAACAACGAACGACCATTTCCTTCCCGAAACCAACTATTTCATTGGCTAATGCCGCAATAGAAAAATATTAGAAAATAAATTTTTAACTTTGATTTTGCTTCCTAAGAAGAACGTTTTTCTTGGGCCGATTTTGTTCATATTAGGACTTATCAGCAAGAAATAGACAATGCCGACTCTATTCTCTAATGGAGTAGGCCAGGGTAGCCATTTTCCCTGTAAATAGTTGATGACAAGTTTGTTTGACCTCGACACTAGCGCTCTGAGAGCGTGATGATGAACTATAATTCGGTACAGTCGGCTCTTCTATTTGTTCTATTATAACTTTATATGGCTTATGAAAGATATATTTCGGTGAGATGGAGTCCATGTTCGCTTGAAGCCGTGGGAGCGTATCGAGCGCCTCCTGCCAAAAGTGACGCCTCGCCTCACCAGATCCTACATCAGGTTCTATTCTGACTATGCGGAGACGTGTCACTATAGTCAGAGCAAACTCTTTGATGTAAATATCAAGGCAAGTGAGACTAAGAATGACTTCTAGTCGGTGTTTCCACGGCTCCTGTTATAATGAGACATGATCTTCTTTGAATTTGTTCTAGTTTACGGATAAGCTGTTATTTTTAGGGTTTTCGGTACCCAGTCATTTGCACCGTATGTTTGCGTATGTCTTATAATAGCCGTGTAAGTCCATGGCCCACGGTTCGGCAGCATTGTTCATAAGCAATGTATGCTCTTTTAGCTCTGTTTTTTAAATGCAAGTTCCATGTTAACTTGCTATCAAAGGTGAGACCAAGGTACTTCACCTCTGTTGCAAAGTTTAGTTTTGTGTTTAGGAGGTTTTAATTCCATTTTCATCCTTTTCCTTATGTAATTCCTTTATTATTACAACACAGAAAGATTTAATAGGGCATTATAAAAATAAACATCAATGTAATTAACACACTTATCATTGTAAACTTCCCAAATATTATTTTTAAATTAATAAATTAACATTTATTTTCAAGTCACTTTCATAAATGGCAATTGACATGTCTGACAGATACTCACTGCGCAAACTCAAACCTTAATTGTGAGTCTCCTTATTAGAACGTTAATTATGAGCAAGAATTGACATCAAATCCATTCTCCTAATTTTAGTTTCGTGGGTATTATCCATAATATTAAATTTAACACATTTACAGGCTGTATCAACAACTTCTGCTATCAGCGACAGAAGATGCATTGCATCCGGTGGTAAGCTGCAAGTGCCTGTTTCTGCCATAGATCTAATGTCCTGTTGTTGGGTATGCGGTGATGGCTGCAATGGAGGAACTATGGAATTCGCATGGGACTATTGGATTAATGCAGGTATAGTCACTGGAGGCGGATATAACAGTTCCTTGGTAAGTACTTATTCAATGTAGAAAAAAGAATAATGATAATCTATAGAAAAAAATATTGCATTAGTAAAGATTTTATAAAAATACCAAATATTTTTAATATGTTTTTGTTTAAGGGGTGCAAACCTTATCCGTTTAAACCTTGTGACCACCATGTTGAGGGTAAACACGTACAGTGTACAACTTTATCGTACGACACACCCCCTTGTTCTCAAGATTGTTATAATGAATTAGACTTTAATTCTGAACTGACCTTTGGTAAATCTGAGACACAGGGTTTCGGGGCCGTTGAAGATATACAGCGAGAAATTTCAACAAATGGACCTGTTACGGCGTCTTTAGCAGTTTTTGAGGACTTCTTGAGTTATAAAAGTGGTGAGTTTTATAAAAAATCATAGAAAAAACAAACATCGAACAAGAAGATAGGTACAATATTTTTGATAGGATTTTCTTAGAATTTATAAGAAGTTATATAAATTCATGGACTTACACGTCCATTATAAGACCTATTCTAACATATAGAACATATAGAACAAATACGAGGAACGGCGTGTCTCAATCTTAGATTAACGCCCGTATGCACCGTACTTGTTTAATCCAGATCAAGGATTTAATCGCGTTTAGTACCATAGCTAAATATGGTACTAAACGCGATTAATCTGGATTAAACATGTACGGTGCATACGGGCGTAAGGAAACCGAAGATAGAACGTACATATTACAAAGAGCTGCGCAGAGGCTGCTAATTATTTTCAGTCGGAACTAGTAAGTGGGGGAACTTAACAGATACGTACTCAGGATAACTAACAGCAGTGATTGATTTTTTGAAATAATAAAAGAACATTGGTACATAATTTTATTTATTTGTAAATTATAAATTCTGACAAAATTTATTTTCGATCTAAAATATATTTACAGGATGGCCCAACGAAAACTTGACATTAGGGTTTTGAGCATTAATATCGTGGATCTTAAAAAATGCTTGGACACGTCGATTTTAGTTTGAAGGAAGGCATTTTTTTAACATATCATTAACTGTCATACGTCATTACCCTCAACTCCGTTACTCCAATTAATGCAATTTATATGGGGAAAGTGCCAAGTATGACATATCACTGAAAACGTAATTTTAAGGAGAATTTATTAATATATGACTATTTATTGCTTTACTTTTGATTTTAGTGCCTTCTGCCGGGATAAAAACTGTTACCTATTGTAAAGTGTGGCACTTCGTTTAAAAGCTAATTTTATTAGAAATTTAGTGCGTAGCGTAAATTTTTTATATTAGTTGATTGCAAAAAAAATTGTATTTCTTAACTTGTGAACTCTGCAATTATTTAAGTTCTTGTTTTATTCAATTATATTTTGTTATATTGTGCATTAAATTATTATTAAAATTGGTTTTCAAATTAAATGCCACATTTTATAGTAGGTAACAGTTTTGTATACTGCCAGAAGGCGCTAATATCAAAAGTAACACATTGAATAGTCATATTACTGAATTTTTCTTAAAATTATCTATTTAATGATGTGTCATACTTTTGGTACTTTTCTTATTTAAATTGCATTGGTTAGAGTAACGGAGAGTTTTTAAATATGTTAAAAGTTAACAAAAGTAGACGATCGAAAAAAAATCGATTTTTTTTTTTTTAAGTAAAACTGTCTAATTTTTTTAGTCTTTTGCGTAAACTATTACAATTTTAGTCATTTATATAGTGGTTTAAAAATGTTAGCCAAATAACTTACCTGTTTTTTAAGTACGGGTGAATTTTGATATGGTAATATTTCTACATTACTTTTTTCATTTGCCACCTTATGTTGTAAGGTTAGCAATTTCTGGAAAAATTATACAGTTTTAAGACTCCAATAACGACAAAGTGGTAATAATTTTTATGTAATGTTAAAAATTGTTATTTCTACCTCAGTAGGCACAGCATTTCCCTTCAAATCAATTTTAAATGGTGATTTTTCTCTGTCCAAAGAATTATTAATTAAATGCAAATGACAAATACGATGATCCTTATGTATTTTATCTTCCTTAATATTGCAAGCCAAGAACCATGTCTCGCCTTTCTTTATTTGTTTGGAAACTAAAATAGATAGTGTTTATTTCAGCGTTCAAAAAACATTTAAATAAACTTTTAAACTGATAATTTTAAACAATAATTTCATAAAATTCAGTTATTACAATTTATTCACTCAAAATAAACATGGTTACTTGTCATAACAAAATAAAATATTAAAAACTTACCTAAATAAGTGAACAGACTTCTTGTCTCTCAAATAATTTGCTCTTGTATGTTAATAACAGTCCCTTATTATACACCTTGGCAGTTTTTGTCCAAAATAAACTCACTTAACAACACAGTAAACAATATCTAGTAATTTCATGGTCAGCAAAAAAATGGCGATACACACGTGATCCGTCAGCAACTTGTTGTCGAGGACGGGTGGTGGCAGGGAAAGACTTCACTTATTCACTTTAATTGGTGGAACTTGGTAGTGGGAATTGAGGGGGAAAAGGGCAGTGTGCGCATTTGACCATGTTACATCTTCGGTTTCTTTAATCTAAGGTCTCAACATGAAAGGAGCCTTTAAACCCACACTAACTTGAGCTATGAAAATCATTCTTCATTTGATATTTACATACTCTTTTTTTTTAATAAGTGTCTTAAATAAAGCATTTACGATTATTACAATCTAATCATTAAGATCAATTAGCGATTTTATTATAACCCAACTTAACTAGAGATGAACACTTCATAAACTAAGATTGTACTCACTAGTGTACCTTAGAGTATAATTATTTAGTTACACCAAACCGTACTATGCTCTGCTTCTTATCTAACTTCACTGAACTAACTCAAAAGGTTCTCTTGATTATTCTTATTAGATTGGCATTGTTGATGGGCTGTATGATCTTAACTTTTCCATGTTGGAGCAGTCGTTGTTGGTGACTACTTGCAAATGTTTCTATTGTGTTTTCAACTCTCCATTATAAGGTGCCTATGAAGATCAGTATTGGCACAGTACCAGGGTGCATCGATATACTTTAATCTGGATAAATTGAATAACTTGGGTATTACACACAGGTATGGCACCAAAGCTAGATACCATACGTCCAAACGGGTTTTAATATCTGCCTGTAAAGAAGCAGTTTGTTGTATGTGGATAATTTAGATTTTTTTTCTAGCAATCTACACATTTTTTGTCTTTTATACCAAACTCTTCACTTTTCTTTTTAATATTAACGAGAGAAATCTAGCATCAAGTGTCATACCCAGAAATTTTGCTGTATTAGCAAAAGGAATCTAAGTGTCGTTTATTCTAATAGGAATATATTTTGTTTATTACTGAAGTTGATTGCCTTTATTCCATTTAATTCGCTATTTTTTCGTCCAGGTGTTAAACTATTCTATATATTTTTGCAATTTTCTTTCAACGTCTTTGTGATTTTTTCCGACATCAAGGATTGCATTATAATCAGCAAATGTTACGATAGTATTGGGCTTAAGATTACGAATATCTCTGGTATACAACAAATAAAGTACTGGGCCTTTTTGGATTTATATTTGTTTGTGTTTCCACCAAACTTCTTTTGGATAGTTGGGATTAAAGACTGTTTCTGCATGTGTTTCTATACAGTTAGCAGAGACATATTAAATATTGCTAGAAAAAAATTTTTCATCTGTATAGATAGCAGGCAAGCACTACCTTTCCTAGACAGACTTTTAGTATCAGAATGTTGCCAAGTTTTGTATGAATCTAATAGATGATCATCTTAAGATGAATCAAAAATCAGGCGGCTACGATTTCCATTTAACTAGACAATCAAATATGTTATGACCTGGCCTTTGCATTTAACATCAAACGTAACAAATCTAATTAAAGAAAATTAACATATTAAATTCAAGGAATGATTCGATCAAACAAGAAACTGCAAGAGTATCTACAGATCACCTTAGTAGTCTAACAACAGAACAGCAACCAAATGGCTAGACAGAATATACGCCTCATCGCAGGTATTTTGGCGGGTCGTCATTACCAGTTACAAAAACACCATCACTGCTATCAAATTTCACATTCTAATGAGGGTGTGTAAAAAAGTAATAAATTATTAACACATCTTCTGTGATTGCGCAATGCTTTCATTTATTAGGAAATGGTTAATCAGCGAATATTGGCCAACAACAATCAATAAAAAAGAGAAACATCTCAGCGAACATGGTAACTACTTACAATAAGTGAGCTGGCTAAGAAACTAATAGAGGACTCATCGATTCAGCAGGATGCACAATGGATCTAGTGATATTAAATACTGTGGGGCAACCTGTTCTTTTTACATTATAGATATCTGTTCAATAGACTATTCATTGGCAGTGTGTATAAAAAAAATACATATGGGTGCAGAAAAAATAAGTTAACTTACTTGAAACAATATTATTGCAGAGTTAAATATACTTTATATTATGTTTAAAAAAGTTATTCTCATATTGGTATACTAAATTAGTTTTAAAAAGTTTTACAGCTTGCTTCATAGTGTTGTTCAAATCAGCAAGTCCTTAAATTGACGTTTTCGACATGTCTTTCAATAAATTCTTTACAATTTATGGTTTAAATAAGCTTACAAAATGTTTACGTGGTGTAATAGATGACAAACTATTATGTAATCTTTAGAATCTGATTTACATATTTAACACATCTTTAATAAAAATTTGGTGCAACATCCCATTGGACAGTTTTCTGTTGATTTGATTTATTAACTCGATAGTCTATATTTTAATAAATATTCACATAACTAACTATATATACTATTTCTAGGTGTCTACCATCACGTTGTTGGAGAGAAGTTAGGTTTGCACGCAGTAAGAATCATTGGATGGGGTACTGAAAACAATGTTGCTTATTGGCTCGTTGCTAATTCTTGGAACGAAGATTGGGGTGATCTCGGTCTATTTAAAATCAGAAGAGGTGAAAACGAATGTGGTATCGAAGAAGTGGTAAATGCAGCGCAAGCAAAAGTATAAATAATTATTACGCTTTAAATAAAATTGTAATGATTTCATTATATTTTTGTTTTAATTTAATTTAATTTCCACTTTACTGTAGTTTTTCTAGTAAGATTTCTATTTTGTTTTATTCTACTTTAAAATTAATTTCCATAGTAATAAGATTTTTATATACTTATTGTATCAGCAAGGTTGCATTAAATTATAAAATGTCTCATGCTATATATATTAAGATGTAATAAAGTATAACATATACAAATAAACTAGAAAACGATAAAAAAATAAACCAAGATAAATAAAATTGAATCAATTAATAAATAGAATAAAAGTGTTACCTTCATAAATAAATTACATCAATTTCAAGAAAATGTCCTGATCAATGTTATTTATGGTACTTAGTAATTTCCTTTAAATATTATTCTTTCACTCGTACAATTATTTGTACAAATTTTAACTTTTTGAACCTAAAATAAATTTCATTAATGTGTAAATTGATAAGAATGTGAAATGACACCCTGTATATCAAATTAAAACAACATAAAACATCAAATATTTAATTGACAGTTTTGCCAATATCAATAAATAGTTAAAAAAATTATTTAAAGATATTTGTATATCCGTATTAGTATAAAACCAATGTAAACGTACTATAAAAATATAGATTATTAAACTATAAGTGAAATTCTTAATAAACTCACCTTATTTAAAGCTAGATCAAAATTTAAAAGAAGTACTGTTCTTATTGGTCAAATAGACTTAATGGATATGTGTCTAAATTTTTAGATCGGTAGTTATGTACAATTGCAGTGTAGATGGATTTTTTGAAAGAATTCATGTACAAACTTATTCTGAAAAAGAGTAAAAATTTAGTAAAATAATGAAACCAATCATAATTAACTTATTATAGTAATAAGTATAAGGTAGTCAGCTATACTGTGCCTTAAAATTATCAACAAGTTATGTAAGTAATGTTAAATTATCTTTAAAAATCAGTGAATAAAAAAAACCTACCATCCTATGAATTCGTTGTCAAGGAGACGATTTCTGGTGGACAATCTTCAAGAAAAATATATTGGCTTCAAAGAAAGCACATCAACGTTGCCAACTGGATTGGAAGCAGTTATAGTACGGACGCTTAAATTATTATAGTACATTAGAGAAAAATATAGTACAATAATTAAGAAACAAGAAATATGTTTAATTCCTATATTATTTAGTAAAAATTAACAAAAAACTCCAAAAAATTTTTAACAGTACCTTTTCTATAAAAAACAAAAATAAAAACAAATTGGCGGTAATAATAATTTTTGTAAAAGTTTCTATATCAGCCGAAATAAATCTCAAACTCAATATCTTTTTCAGATATGTTAGAATCTTTGAATTTATTTTTCTCAACGTGTCCGTACATAAACTGTTTAGAGCCTAGATACATTTGTTTTAATGAGTCAAATGTTATACCTACATGAAACATTCTTCTCTTTTACACTTTAAAATGCTAGTAAACCACTGTTAATAGTCCTTTTATTAAGTTGTTGGAGTTTCCCTCGCTTAGGGGATTTCAAATTTATTATTTGGTAATCCCGCCTACTAATATATTATATGATTTACCATAAGATGGCGCTGGAAGTGCTATTCCAGATTTTTTAAATCTGTTAGTTTGAGTTGTCAGTAGAGTGATCAGTGTCAATATATTGCCAAAACCTTTGGTATGCTGTTATGATTTGTAAATCTATAAATTGTTGTATATTAAAAAAAATTATGAAATTATAGTACAAGGTGCGTACTATATTTACTTTGAAATTTTATAGTATGTTACGTGAAATTAATTTCAAATTTATTTTTAACAACTTCTCCATAACCTCTCGTAACACAAATTAAACGACCACCGCTTGCTTCCTCAAAATTTGAAAGGTATGATTTGTCGTTTGAATTCAATCGGCCTTTTGATGTATCGAGTTTAACGTGGTAGCTTGTGCCGATAAATTAGCTGCTAGTAGTTGTTCATAATTATCTTGTCTTTTATGTGTTTATTGTGTGTTAACGTTGAGATAATTGTCAAGTAATGTTTCTTTCATCTTATGTTTTAACATTTTGCTGGATTTCGTTGGGAAACCGAAAGGATCGGCCATTTGTTTTTTTATTACCATCATGCCGGTTATTTATGTTTTATTTTATTTTATTTTATATAGATTATAGCTACCCTAACTAATTATATTTTTAAGCTTTCTTTAATACTTTGATATATACGCGGGTAGGCAACTAAATAATTAAATGACAAGTCAGTCTGGAAATACAGCTTAAACGGAAATTTACGGCTCTTAACTTATTTTGACCTCATAAATAGCTTATATTTTGCTCAGATGATGTAAAACTTATTGTTAAAACTTATGTTGGCATTATAAATAGCTTATATTTTGTTCAGATGATGTAACTTTAATATTTGTCGTCATATTTTATATTATAGTCAGACGATGTAACTTTGATATTTGTCCCATTTATGCATAAGTCCGTTAGATTTTCAAACTATCATGTACATGTACTTCTACTGTTACTGAGGTTCTTTTTATTTCTCAACTGTAGTGGCTCCAAGAAGCTCCAAGAAGCTCCAGAAAGCTCTAAGCTCGAAGAAGTCAAGAAGTCCCGAGTTACGTAGTTGCTCCTAGAAGCTCTAAGAAACAAGAAGTTCCGAGTTACGTAGTTGCTCCTAGAAGCTCTAAAAAACAAGAAGTCTAAGTTATTTAGATGCTTCTTGATGTTAAGAGTTGTTACGAGTTATGTAGTTTCTCCAAGTTCCGAGCTTTAAGCTCCAAGTATTTAAGTACCTAAAGCCGAATTGTCCACTACAGGACATACAACAAGGAAGTACCGTACTAGAATGCCACATAGTAGGGACAACTAATAAACATTTTATCTATCAGTCAATTTTATTCATTCTTTTATTCACATTTAATCACTAACTATTAATTTATTATAAAGAAATTTATTCTTTTTACTTTTTTTATTAAATGTATTAAATTTTCTTACTTTATTTTATATGCCAGAACTCATACAAATAACTTTAAGTACCAGAGACTGACTTAATTAAACTAAGTTACTCAAAAACTTGGTGACGCTTAACATTTTTGTCGTTATAGTATTATAATATCTTTCATTTTATGGTAAAGTAGACTTTGGTACGCGAACCGGTCAAGCTACTCTGATTTCATTTGCAATTTATGAATTTTCGCAGTATTAGATTTTGAGCTAAGTACAATTTACATCGTAGAAATCAAAAAGAACGTAACAAGTACTTGAAGTTGTAATTATGGTACAAATACTATATTTATAGTACGCTTGGCAACGCTGAAGTACATATAACGGAAACAGAAGCTAAGTACATGTTTATAGTTTACTTCTTCAATGAACCTTCTAGGACAAAGGTAAAGTTTAAAATAAAATTTAAATAATTAATCACGAACTTAATTAAAAATTTGATCCTAATATAGCCTATAATTATTGTATATTTACCTTGATAGAATTGTAGATATTAGCAGTGCATTTTAATACCCACACGGCATAATTAGATGTTCCCTATAAATAATTCTTATCAGTCATACTTAATAACTGTTTAGTTTGCATTTATAATTTGTTTCATCAGTAATTGGAAGAAAATTTAATAATACTGTTCTGCGCACACAAGGTGATTGAGATTTTAGTTGAAACATCTAAATCGTTCTTGTATTGAATTATAGAAAGATATAACGTACTCCTATTTTTGTTTGTACCTAACATAAAAGCTGTGGTACACATGTTCAAAATTGGTTATTTTGTTAAAATTATATAATATGTATTTTGTAGTATTTAAGTGTTTATTTGCTAATTAGAATTGGTTTCATTATGGAAAATTAAATATATAGGCAAAGTTAAATAATATACAGGTAAAGTAAAAAATATAGTATATTCATAAAAAAATAGTAGACAGAGTGTTTTAATCCCTATTTGGTGAATTCATAAGCCTTTTCATTCAATAAAGATACATGCATATTTTCTCAAAGCTCGTTCAACGTCTTAAGACTTACCCTAAATGAGACTTTCCACGCAGCCCAAACGTTTATAAATCTTTTATTTTTTCAAACTTTCTTATTATGGTTTCATCGATAGTGTCCAGCTTTACTTTAATTACCCGATTCCGCGCGTTTTCGAAAAATTCAGAATAGTAATCTGTCTATGTTTTGCCTATGGAATTCTTAAATTTGACCATTTCTCAAACAAAATAAAAAAATTGGGTTTCGGGTTAGTAAACTTTCAATAACTGCTGGCCACTCGAACTTACACATAGTGATTTTTAGGCAAAATTTGAAAATTTAAATATTTTCAACAGGATTGCAAATTTTTGAACGCGGGTTGCAGATTTTAAGAGCTAGTTTTTTTCGGAATGACGTGCATGTCGTATATTTATCGTAGGTTTATTATGTAAGGGTGATCAATGAAGTCATGCTAAAAATCAAAAAGTTTGTATGACTGAAATTTTTGCAAAAATTATTTTCTGTCATTGCAATATAGTTCGTTACTAAGGTAACATCAATATCTCTAGATATTTTTGTAGGTTTTTAAATTAGGGCCCATAGGTCTTGTACACACATTAAATTTCGGTAACAAAATTTTCAAAATGCTATAACTTGACATTGGATTGAAGGTTTCTAATGATTTTTGTGGATCTGGAATCCTCATTTCACGTAGATTTTATGTATTGTAAGCATTTTATTTGAGGTTTAAAATTTACACATTATACCGGGTCTATAATAGACAAAAATGTAACGTACGACGCGCTCTAAGGTTTGGCATTATTTCAGTTTTTCTAAAAATAAATTCTCACCTCAAGTTGTTTTTATTTAATATCCTTCTCACTGTTCTGTACAAAACTCTCATTCCAGTTTGTTGTCTCAAAGAGTCATTCAGTTTTACAGAGCTCTTTGTTCACCCCATGCTCATATGTCAAAATAAGCATTTGAAAAATTAATGGAGACAATTTATGTTTTTTAGGCTAATTTCTTTTCATTTATTAAAAATTACCGATAACAATTACCACTAAGTGTCCCTATCCATACATACCTAATATTTATTATTACAGTACACCGTGTTTTATAGGGATTGCAGAAACCCTTAAATTAGGTTTAGAATTAAAAGTTTTGTAAGAATTGACTTTTTGCCGTTGTTAACCACTCTTATATATTATAATGTAATAAACTTGTTCTTGTCGCTCCGTTTTTGTCTATTATCGACCAGGTATAATGTGTAAATTTAAATACCTAAATAAAATACTTAGACCGTAGAAAATCTACGTGAAATAAGGATTCCAAATCTGCAAAAATCAGCCAGAACCGTCAATCCAGTTTTAAGTTATATCATTTTAAAAATTTTTCTAGCCAAATTTTATGTCTACTAGTGTGTACAAGGTCTAAGGGCCTTAATCTAAAAACATAAAAATATCTAGAGATATTGATGTAATCTTGGCAACGACCAAAAAAATTTTTAGCGGAAATTTCACTCATACAAACTTTTGATTTTTTGTAAAACTT